TGTGTTATATTTGCACTTATATGCACATATAATTAGGACATGCATTTATACATATATTCTTATAATATAGCTAGGTATTCTGCACCTAGATATTCAGAGGTGACAATTACTTGAGTGAAGACAAGCATCTGTACAAAGAACTGCCTGTCCTGAATGGAAGGAAGCTGTATCTTCTGTTCCCTGTGGGTATCTATCATTTCTCCCTTTCATATCTGGTGACCTTTAGTTGTAGTGGTGCTGGCTGCTTTGAGGAGAGAGCCCTAAAATCTTGCTATCAACAGGCTGTGGTTTCAGAGCCAGCCATATGAATGCAATGGAGGTTTGCTGCTTTCCCATTGATCTTAGACTTGGGTGTTGGCACTGGCAGATTTTCAAAGGAATATTTATCTATGTCCTCTGCTTTTTTGGCAACTGTCTAGGATGAAGTCTCAGAGGAAGCAACCATGGAGTGTTTGCCATGTAGCGTATCTGCTTGTTGCAGTCTCAGGAATAGGTTACAGCATAACAATACTGAAGCCTGGAAGAGGAATTTGTGCAGGAAATGCAGTATAAGTTGTGTAGGAATTATCAAGTCCCGTAAGAGACCCCACTCATTAGCTCACAGGAGCAAAACATTGCCTGCACACCCCAGAGTATGACAATATGGTCCCATTTGACTTCAGATTCCTAAGCATCCAAGAGACCAATAGTACATGTGGGCTTAGAGGGATTCAAATTTTTTTGGATTGGGAACACTAAGAATTGTGATTTTAGTTCTGATCAGGATCTAATGTGTTCAGACTGGGTCTCTGCATGATTTCCTGGAAACTCACAATCTTGTGAATGGGAGATTGCAGGTTGGAGAGGTGGGAGGGAAGAAGCAACACAGGGCTGAAATGTGGCTCTCTTCACTCCTTTGTGTTATTAACTATAAGTTGTGCAGACATCACCTCACACCAGCAGGTGGTATTGTCTCTTGTGCTTTATGGTAGCAACAAAAACATCTCCAGAAAACTACATCTCTCTGTCAAGCGAGGTGTGTGCCATGCTCTGCATTACTTACGGACTTGTCCACAACACACAGAGTAGCCTCTCTTTGGAGGCTTATAGTTCAGAAAGGATGGAGGTTTCCTTTGTTTTTCCATGTTCTTTGTCTAAAGCACTAGTAAATTGCAGGCTGTTTAAGCAGTCAGAGCTGCAAGGTTGCTGCTGAAAGTGGAGGAACAATTTGTAGTAAGTAGTTACCAAGGTTCAGCAGGGCAAAAGATTCCACTCAATTTCTGAATTAAAACAATCATGGTTTACAGTATTAAAGACATAGAGAGCAAAAGCTGTAGGAAGTATGGCTTCATCTGCTCCCAGCAAGCACAGTGCTTAGGCACAACAGTCCCACCATGGCCCGTGGTGTGCATGTATGTCTTGTGTCCACATCACTTGCAATCGAAGTGCAAAGTTTTCTAATGATGCAGACAAAAATGCTATACTCTGCACGGCGTTTGAAGGGATGTCAAAGATTTCTGTACAGTATGTTCACGTGTCTGCCCTGGATAAGCTTTTTCCATCACTGTCAAGCAGCCAAAAGTGGGAATAAAAACCTCTGTCATCAATGCTCAGTGGTTCTCCCATAACTGTTTCAGAGAGAGTGATGAATACCATGTCCAAATGAAGCCGCTGGGGAAAATTAAACTGCTAGTAATGACCTAGATTGAAATTTGGCTGCGACGCTGGGACTAATGACTTGTTCTCCCATGGGAAGTGGCAGGGGAGCTTGGAGATGAGCAGCTCATGGCCACCCTGGAAGGCAGCTCCATTCTGCCATATGCCACGTCCCATCCCGGGGCACTGCTCATAGGAGGCTGAGGTTTTGGCTTGGTGCAGAGAGACAGTTTTGGCAGATGGATAAGCAAATATGTTGTTAGGAGCTGCAAAGGAATATAGGAATTTTTGTTTGCTGTAGCATATTAAGTGCTTTATGTTCCACATGTGTGTCTGATCACTTCTAAATTAGGTGCTTCAGGATATGGTCAGATAATCACATGAAAAACTTAGTGTGTTTTATTTGTTTTAGGACTACAGATTGATACTACAGATTGATATTGCTCTGCATGGACATGGTAATTGTCTGCAAGTGTACTTCTAGTCCAGTGCCATGGGAAATCTGATTATTTTCTTAGTGTTGGTCACCAGCTTGTAGGAAGGCCCTGAAAGTAACCTTAATGCTCAACCAGTGTGAAATTCTTCAAACTTATAAACACATTGGACCCACTTGTGTGGTGTGCAGTGTAAGTATTAAGTCCTTTTAATACGATCTGCACGTGCAATATAAATATAAAAACTTCCTACCTGTTACCCAAGGTGATCTGCAAGCCTGGAGATGTGATCAGCTGTGCTGAGGAATATATATGTATGGTCTGTGTGAACAGGATAACTTATCCAGATATGCTATCATGAATTAGATCCCAAGATTTATGGGAAGGTCTCAAACTATGTAGATGGTTTAGAATCATAGTGTTTTTTGAGTTGGAAGGAACCTTTAAAGATCATCTAGTTCAACTTCCATGCAATGAACAGGGACGCCTACAGCTCCATCAGGTGCTCAGTCTAAAACTCTCTGCTTTTAGTTCAAAACAATTTCCTCGTCTTATCACAACAGACCCTGCAAAAGTCTATCCCCTTTTTTCTTGTATCTTCTGTACTGGCTTCACACTGAAGCAGAGTAAAACCACTTTAAATGCAGCTGAAAATGATTTTCTTGCATTTTCTTTCTTGAATGAGGCTGTAACTGTATGAGCTATCATTCATTTTGGTCTGTGGTGATTAATTCTCACTGGGTGAGTAGCAGCGATCTGTGCCATGGCTGACTGCTTGTTTCTTACACTGCACCACTAACTTACATTAATATGCAGAAATACTGAATTTGAATGTGCTGTCCCCTCCCAAATGTTCTTTGGTGATAGATTTGACAGGAGTACTTGTACAAAACAAGCACTATAGAAAATGCAAAGAGTTCTCATCAGAACAGAGAAGGATTTTCCTCAGTTTCCAGTAAGAGACCCCTGGCAGGCAGATGTAATGGTTGCAGGAGATTGGAGTTCTGTGTATTGGCTAAAGAAACTGTGAATTCACAACCACAGGGCTGGGCCTAACGACTTCCACCCAAATCATATGCAGAATTTCCTACTGCTGCACAGCGCTTTATGTGCTTAAAGCATGGGCGGGAGCGCGGGCAGCTGGGTGGCTAGAGGAGGGAGAAATTGCATTTATTTCATCCTGACAGATCACTCCATTTTATGAGGGTTATCTGCTGCACTAAGCAAATATTTAAATAAGATGGCCCGGAGAATATCTCAGGAGGATTTACTACAATGCAGATTCCATCTGAGATTCATAGATTTTAGGACCTGAAGTTCACATAGCAATTGCTATGACTACTTCTAATTCATGTTTATTATTGCAGTTTTTCCTTGGCCATTGACACCAAGGAACCTCTTAGACAGGCTTGCTGCAGCTGTGAGATGGAATGGGGTGAATGGGAGCGTACTGCTGGCTGCAGTTCCATGTAGTACATACCAGTTCCATGTAGTACATACCACTGAGATACATCTGCCCTTAGCATGTAGGCACAGATCTAGAGATTTTCCAATTCCCCAAGATAGGAATAGGAAAACCTATTTATCTGATTTTCTGTCTGAGAAAGGTGATGAAGTCATTGGGTTTCTGCCCACCTTCTCCATGTAGCCAAGATGATGATGAATTGGTTGCACCAACCCGTTTTCCCCTATCCAACCTGGAGTTGCTTCCTCAGTTGGCTCATTTTCAGCCCTTGGTCTCCTGAGCTATGTTCTAGGTGATGCCCACCTCACCAGGGCAATGCTGTGTTGCTTCCCCATGCAGAGATTGGGCTGAAACGGACATCACTGCCCTGTTTGTCACTGCTCCCCAGGGCAAATGCTAATGAGGAGAATATTTGGCATGTGTACCTCGATTGCCCTCTAGTGCTAAACAGCAGCCTTGACAAGATCCTTTGCAGAAACAGAATTTGGAACTGCTGAGAAGATTTGATTCACATTTAGGATTTTATTTTGACAATTAAAATGCTTATTGATGACTGGAGGGAGGCTGTAGGCTAGCCAAGAAGCAATATCCTGAGTCAAATAGCAGAAAAGCAGTTTGAGAGGGATTTCATCATCAGCTGATGGGAAATTGAATGCTGTAATGCAGATTATTCCATCAGATTATCTAAGGCAGTTTGTTAAGATGGTATGGAAGCTGCCAGCTATTTGCTGCACTGAACATATTGCATTCTGGAGAATTCAAAGATCCTTAATGTGTTAGACCAGTCAACAGTAATTTGTTATAGAAATGCACAGGCTACTGTCTCTATTAGACTCCTTCCCTCCCAAACTCTCCAGCTATGGTGGCATTCATAGTGCTTTATAGCCCCATAGCAGGCCAGTCTTTTGCTATGTAAGATGAAAGCAGAGGAGAGGTACCTTTAAATAAATCTTTGTCTAAATTATCATTATTAAGCTTCACAGTTAATATAGGTAGGCAAAACAAAGCTGTTTGGTTTTAGGCTGTCAGCTGTGGGATTGATCCCAGAAGAATAAACTTCATCTGGAGTTAGACTCAACACTGTCTCATGTTAGGGAGAGGAACTCCCTTTCAGACTCAGTTATGCACTTGGGAAAAGCCCTTCATCTGTCCTACTTTTCGTGTTAAAATATTATTTGCATTCAGTAAATCAGTATCTTATTGAAACCTTGTTCCCCCCAATCCTTGGTGCTCAAATAGGTTTGCTGGGTCCCTGTGAATGACATTCACATTGAGATATGAATCTTCACAGATAAACTGCACCCCTAATGTCATTCCTGCAAGACCATTCTCCTCAAAGATAACTAATGAATTTTCATGGCTGGTTTTTTTTTTTTTTTTTTTTGCACTTTTGTATCATGAAGAATCTCAAGTATGCCAGGACATTTTAAAAAGCAAATTATGATGAGATTTTTTTTTCTTCCCAGTATTACAGAATCCTACAGATGGAGTATAAGAAAGCTCTGGTTCAGTAAGACTTTCAGGCCATCTGTTCAAGTAAGAATTGCAAAAATTAATGAACAAAATAGGTATCAAGTACCTCTTTTCCTCCTTCATTTTGTTATATGCATGTATCCCTGTATTTTCCATAAGCTCTTGTCTGAGGGACAGTTGTTGCTCAGTACATGCTGTGCTCTCTGAAAAATCATGATCGTTAATATCCATTTCTTGTTAAGAAGAAGAAGAAATGTATGTGTCTTTCAGAAATCTACCTGTGCTTTTAAAGGTGGGGAAAGAAAGCCTTAAAATTTCCTAAATAGGTAATGCCCATTGTATCTGCTAACCAGAGAGTAAACGATCTGTACACCGCACACCCTAAAATACCTACATATATTTAACAACAGTGGCCTCTGGTGGAGCTCAGCTAAATAGAGTACTAATAAGTTGCTCAGAGCTGGTGATGACTGATTACAGCTCTGTGGTAATGGACTAGAGCTCAGGATTGCACCTCCAAGCATCGATCCTTCCAAGGATATTGGCCTTTCATTAATATCTACTCAATTTTTAGCATGTGCCTTTGTCCTTAATGCTGTTGCATTGTTTAGCACTTGGAGATTCATGAGTGAATCTCTTCCTTCCTCCTAATACATTTGAAAAGCAGTTTGGAGGCCACAGAAATCCAAGCTGTGTTCTTTTAACCCAGGCTTTGATTTACACCAATGGTGTAAGAATTTACCTGAGATTTTTGTGTTTCTGGTACTTTGGTTAAAAATAAATAGTACGCTGTTTCAAAAGTTGCTGGGAGATGGGAGCCGTGTAACAAACTGCAAGAACAAAGATTGAGAGAAGTGCAATTCCCTTTTTATTTTACTAAAAATCGTGCAGCATTTTGAGTGAGCTCAACTACTTATGCTTTGGTTCAGCAACCTGTTCTCATTTAATAAGCATGTAAACATATGCTTATCCTTAAGTACCAGTTTACATCCCATCTGGCTCAAGTCAACTGCTCGTGTTATGTGCTTTTCTAAGGGTAACCTCTGCATCTGCTAAAATCCTTTGCCAAATCGCTGTCTCCATTTTCTGTTTGGATATCTAGACTTATTTCTCTGACTTAGATCCACGTCATCCATGTCTTACAAGTCCAGGATTTAAACCATTAGCTCATATTGCTTATAACACTCACCCACACCCTTCTACATTTCAGAATGCATTATGATAGTAGCAGAGCTTCATTTGATTTTATCATGGCAATATAGTTTAAGCAGCTGATCAAAGCCAAATGCCTTCTGTTTAATTAGCTTTCCCACTGACCTGAGAGTGCAAATGTGGGAAATCACAGTGTGTCACTAAGGTCTTATGAATGTCTAAAAGACATACACCTCTCCTGGCATTAAGGACACTGTCAGCATTTGCCCTCCAGCCTGGCAGATATCTGGGACATGAAATATATTTCATGAAACGCTATTCTTTGCACAGCTAGCACTTAATGACTGGAGCTCCAGGCCAAGTACAGAATCCTAAAATGAGGCCATCAACATCACCCAATTACTGCTGTTATTAAAAATGCCAAGTGTAATCATAATAATAATTAGACACTTACTATGCAGCGCTGCCTAAGGAATACACACCATGTGTGTAAGATGTCATGCAAGTCCTGGGCAATCTTACCACCTCCACGTTACTGCATGAGAGATAAATTGCATCTGAATGGGATCTGCCTCTGTAAATCCAGTTTTCTTGGTCTTTCACCTTCCGAGGATTTATTTTTGTTTTTTAATCTGCAACTAGTTATAGCCTCTGAGCTTTGTCTTGCCACTAACACCCTCTCAGAGACTCTTAGCATCCAGAGAGTATCTCCCTTTGATCTGTTATTTATTATCAAACAATTATCCAGACAGACAAGTTACACCCACAGTTGTTGCCTCACATGCCAGAAAAGCAATGGTCCAGAAGAGTAGCAACATGCTCAGTGTCAGATGATTTTTACTGACTTCAGGCAAGTCCTTCCCTCCTTGAATGTCTGTTGGCTCATCCACAAAATGGGCCCAAAACTGCAGTTTCGTTTGTGAAAATGCTTTGTGATTCTTCAGTAGAAGTCCTACAAAAATGTGCTAATTATAAATCTGCTAGTTGTAAGTGTATTTATTATATTTAAGATTATCATGTCCACAGTTGATTTATTCCCCAACTGTCATTTAAAGTCCAGGCTCCCATTTCCTTCCATATCTATAGACAGAAAGCTCATACATCTCCTTTGTCCCAATCTGCTGCATTGCATGCTGAGTTATATCTCTGGTTTTGCAACATTCTAGCAAAATCACAGCTTTTGAAAGAGATTAGATGGCGTAACTTCGCTCCACTGACTCTTCCATCCTGGCATCTGTTTTATTGCTTTATGTATTGTGGAATTAAGAGAGATTATCTTCTAATTATTCCCTGTAGTCTGCAAGACAGATAGGGGGGAGAAAAAGCAAATAGTATTTTATGTGCTCGAACTTAAATCTCTTTTCTGGTCTTTGTCCCAGAATGACAGAAGTATGGGAATCATCTGCAGATGAGATATGGATCTGCAAGACAAAGGTCAATGCAAGGTTCACATAGATCATGCCAGCAGGACTCTAAATGTTGGGGGAAAAGAAAAGTTGATTCTATTAAGATCATGCAGTCATTTCACCTGGTGAAGACCTCCAGCAGAAACTGTCTCAGAATAGTTTAGATACTACATTTCTGAAGTCAGGACTGCTGTACCTGTCCAGCTAGTATCAGGCCAAGTTAAAGCTATCTTCCCCCCCCAGAACATTCCTTGCTCTTTTCTTTGTCTATTGTTCTGTGTGCCAGGATTGTATATTGCATACAAGGCATGGCTAAAGGTAAGGCTTTCAGGAGCTCGTATTCCCACAGAAGCCATGTGGGGCAGATGGCCTTTGGACAAACCATTGACTGGTGATTAGAAAACTAGCTGACCTGGGGAAGAAAGAGAGGGTACAGGGAGCGTGGTGAGGCCCACATACCAACCTCACAGATAACACTCTCATGCTGTAGTTCAGCCCATGGACGAGCTGGTGCAGCTCCCTTGGTGCCTGCACCCAGGTGGAGACCATAGACATCACTCCACTCCCACAACCTTTGTGCCCTGAGGTTACAGAAGTGAACTGCTTCCTACAGATTTCACTCAAAATTGCCTCCAAGCCATAGAATCCATGAAATGTTTACAATAAGAGTTCTGAGTTCTTTATCATGAGGCATCTGCAAGCCTTCAAAGCAAAGGTGGGCTGTCATGATAAATGACTCCTTCCAGGAGTGAAAAGAGCAGGACTCCCTCTTTCCTCTCCTGCTTTACATGCTTCTATCTCCATGCCCAAGGGCCTCCTGCCCAGTGCAGGAGCACTGCCTCCATACCACAGCTACGCTCTCATGCTTTCCCTGTGTGAACTTATTGTACACAAACCACTAGTGCCACTACAGCTTAGTTTGATAGGCATCAACCTCACCATTTCTTTTTGAGGTTTGTTTCCTCTCCCAGTCCTAGATCTGCCTGATTTTCCTTGGCTTTTACCATCTTGGAAAGTGATTTAGGCTTATCTTTTTATTTTCTCCTCAACCTTCTATCTGCACAGCCATAGGCTTGCTGATTTTGCAGATGGAGAAATTCTTCCTTTGGATTTCAAATGGAGATATCTGCCAGTGCCGAACTGATTATTCCAAAATGGATCACACTCTGCTGTGGCTAAACAGAATGAGATGCTGATGAGGGGGAGCAAGGATGCAGAGCAAGAGGATGTGGGATGGCAGAACCTATAACAAAATTAACAAATTAACATTGATAAATACATCAAAGAGAAAAAAAAAAATTGAGAAGAGTAAGAAAAGGACACAAGTTCAGCTGGGGGAAAAAAAGCTGAATTTGTAATCAAAGTGCTTCATCTGAGTCTGAAGTTGCTCCTAAACACAAATTGAACTGGCCGCTATCTGTTTTGTCCCAAACATGGCTAGCCATGAGTAACTCCTGCTGTTCTTTTAGGTACAGCACCAGAGGGAGGGGAGCTTGAGTGCTCTAATCTCCAAGGTAATGATGCATCCTGTGAGTTTCATGACATCAAATTCTGGGAGGGGAGGGGGTAATTAGTGCCCCAGTGACTGTAACAGGCTGTGAGTGGTAATGCCAGTTCCGAGCATGCAGTTTTATTGCATCACAAGGAAATCACGTGTGGCTGGTAGAAGAGTCTCTGCTCAACAGGAGCTAAAGAAATGGGCCACATTAAGTACAAGAGTGAAATATTATTTAAATATCACCTGGTAAGGGGAATACTGCCTTCAGAACCATGCCTGAGTGTAGTTGCTGTGGGAATGGTGTGGCTACTGCAAGGCAAAACCTCTTAGCCCCTCTTTCCAAGTAATCCACACCTATCTTTACCTATAGAAGTACCTTTGTGTCCAGGCACACCTCTGTACCTGCCCTGTATTTTGATAATGTTTTTCTGATAAAGGAACCCTACAAATGCAGGGTGCCAAGCAAGGAGCAAGCAAGGCTGAGACTGGCTGCTGGGCTTGGGAGTCAGAAGAGCTGCAGGAGCAACTAGAGGAGTCCCTGCACAAACAGGCACTGACCTACTTCAGAGGCCAGTGTCTCTCTGGACAGAGCGCATAGTTCCAGACGGCCCTGCAGGGCTGACAGCTCATGCCAGAGGTTGCACATGCTGATCTGGATACAAACTTCACAGATAGACCCAGTGCCATGAAATATAACACATGAAATTAACCACCACTGAAGGAACCTCACAGTTTGTCAAGTGATCTTTTAATCACTTTATTAATCGCTTTGGCAAGAAGATTAGGCAAACATTTTCTGGGCCAAGCATGGGAGAGTGCATTGTGATAATCCAGTCTAGAGATAAATACAAGACACGTACAAAAACCCCATAATAACTCGAGCACACGCACCACTCACAGCCTTAGCACAATTACTGCTATCCTCTCCCTTGGCTATTTCTGCAAGCATCCAGACCATGCAGAAAATAAGCAACTATGCAGAAAATAAGCTCCTCTTTGTTTGACCACTACTAATGCCTATTCAGTTCTCTCAATCTCTGTAACCTGGAAGCTCTTTGCTAATCCTTGCACATCCCTTGCAATGTGTAGCAGAATCCAACATAATGACCTCTGTTGGAGGTTCAGACTACTGGGTAACACCCATTCCTGTGAAGGAAGGCTGCATAAGGGCTACAGATACTTAAAAAAAAAAAAAAAAAAAAAGCTGCAGTAGAGGCAAACTGTTTGCACAAGCTGCTGTGGGTGTTGGAGTGGGAAGGAGGAGGAGATTAGAGGGGCAGTTTGGGTACATGAGACGAATAACAGCATGTGAGATTTGAGATCCTTTTACAGAACTGTAGGTGGTACCTTGCAGAACTAAACCACCTCTCTTAAATGAGTACCCACACCAAATACTGTCTTTAATTTATTATAGATGAGCTCCATTTTTGAAGGAGGGAGTTGTTTAAGATGAAAGCTAGTCATTGAACAAAATGAAATACTATTATACTCAATGCCACAAGACTGTGCTGGCCAAAAATGTATTTGATTTCAAACCACACTCTTCAGAGAGACCAGGGCTTGTTTGATTTTTTTAGCTCACTTTGGAAATGTCAGTCACAGCCCATGATTGCCATCTCATCAGGTTCCTATCAAAGCCTCTAAAGGGTTGTACCACAGGACATTGGCCAAGGAATGATGTGATCACAGGATAGGTATCCGATATGATACACAAACTGAATTGGACTTTCACATCCAACTCTGATGAGTGTGAAAACAGTTCAGTGCTGACTAGTCCATCTAGGCATACCAGGCTCAGCTCATCTTCCAGTTGGAAAACAGAAATCTAAAACACATTTCTAAGCATGTTTGGCTTTCCAGCTGGAATGAAGGCTGCCTGTCATCTGTTTTGGTGGAGCAGCTCAGCATGGGAGTCTCTCAAACTCAGCACTGCATTGAAACAATATTATCATTGCCTTTGTGAAATATTTGTACAACCTTGCACCTGCAATTAAAGCAGTTAAATTAAATGAATCATGAATTCATGGGTTTTAAGACCAGAAGGACCTTCCCAATTATCTTGTCTGATTTCTTGGTCTGGCATAATAAAAGCCAGAGAGTTGCACCCTGAGGAACTTCTGTCTGGTGCAGAATATCTCCGTGGAATAGAAAGAGCATGTCTTTTGGAAAACACCCTTTCTTGTCTTGAAGCCCCCACATCTATAGATAAGAGTATCAGTGAAAATTTTGTATGGTTGTTCTCGCTTAAACTTTTAGGCCTCAGCTCTGAGTCACAATGCAAGGGTTTGGTGAGACAAACCAAAAAATATTTCCCAGTTACCTCTCCTTTCGTTCATTTTTGTGATCAGATTGCTCTTTACCTCACCTCTGTGCTCACTTGCATGCTGAAAGTTTGGGTGGTCTTGAATACAGTTAAGATGCTCTAGATTCAAAAGAAATATCATCTGTGACCTATGGAGTAATCACAGCTCCTGCTTGTTACTGCAGTTGAACTACTATGATTATGCCATAGAAAGTTGGCATACAACTGTCAGATCCAAGAACAAAAAATTGTCTGTCTAATCCATTTAATCTGACTCACATTTTGGTGTCTCCTCTGCAAAAGTGCCTGTATTTTTTCTATTTAATAAGAGTAATTCTTATTCTTATACTGCATTATAAGCAGTATTACCCTAGCTGGTAAACTGCTCACTGAACAAGGATGTATTTATTTTTTCTGTGACTGCTTAATCCCTTCCTATTGTTTCTGTTCTGACACTCAGTGAACATAACTGAAATGAAGAAGCGGAACATCTATTTATATCCACAAGCTTTTAATGCTGTTAGGAAAGGAGTCAGAGTTAAGAACTAACTCAACAGCTTGGAGAAAAGATAGGTGCAAAAACGGAGTTGGCATTAAATGCAAGAGGCATAGAAATACAGTAGATTCGAAGTCAGTGTGTGGAAAACTCTCTCCTCTATTGAGTAAACTCTTAAGGGGTGATCCTTGCTCCACTCCCACTGACAGCAGTCTCACCTGACAGTGTGTGCACACTTTATTTTCATGCACCCAGGCAGGGCAATACATGTCTCGATCCCATTCATAATCATCTCAAGCACTTTTAAGAATGAAGTGCAATCTATATAGCAGAACTAGCAAACAGTCAAAAAAAAATGATCTGACTGTAACTTAGTTAACAATCGTGGAAAGCACTGCCAGATTTTAGAGAATTGCTTCTACTGTCCAAATCAAACTCACTGCACTTAAGTATGATAAAAGAAATGACATTTCCTATTCTATATTCCATTCTTCATCAAAGACCAGCCTGAAGTGAAAACAGAAGTATAAGTATAAACATCTGTTTTCAAGTTAGATCTTTTTGGAGATCTGATTCCTGTGAAGAGCTTAAACACAGAAGTCAAACGTCATAAATAATTATACAAACGGTGTTGAAAATTACAGTGGAGTCAGGAATATCTCCAGTGCCTTTCCAGGTATTTTTTATATTTCTTTCATGGAAAACATGGGCTGTCAGCTCGAAACTCCATTGTAGCGTAATCAGGTGCTCTGACCCATTTCAAGCAGACTAATACCTAAACTGATCACTCAGTCGTGTTCCTTCTATGCCCTCTTCAAATCACAAATAAAAGGCAGATACAAGGAGGAAGAAGTCTGTAATATTAACAGATGTTGTCTTGTGGAGGTCCTTATGCAAAGGGATAATATGATGACTAGCTCAGCTTGTAGTGTCTCACTATTAGACATTCATGCCAGACCAAAAGAAATGTGAGACATCACAGTAACCTGTAGCTGCCGAACAAACAGCAGTTTCTGTGATCTGCATCATGTTTATAGAGCTCTCAGTAGCTGAAATATGAGGGATAAGGATGATGGACACATTTATTCAGCAAGAAAGCAGCTAAGCCACAGTATTTTAATCATCTCGTATAAGGATGCAATGGTATTGGCTAAATTCTGCCTTTGCTTACATCTATAAATACATGTGGTTTCAAGAGAGGGAGTGGAGTGCAGCCTTGTCTTGTAAATATTTGGAGTATACATTATACCATACGATAGCAATTCATGTGTGACTCGCCACCTGTCCTTTTGAATAGGTTATTCTGCAGATGATGAGAAGAGTCCCTTGCATTAGAGCTTTGAAGAAAAGGATTTGTGGTATTCTACACTAATGGCCCCAAACCTCGTATCCCACAGCAGCCAGATTGCAAGGGTGTGGATATGCTTTATTGAGCTCTATTTTTACAAGAGGATATCTCTTCATCCTCATGTGCCAGGCAGATCATTAAGGGATTTATATCATTACTTAATCTGACACTGAAGCAAGTCAAGTCCGGCAACTCAACTTCGACGATTATCTTCTGTTTTACTCATTTTCTTCAGCAGGGGGAGCTTGAGTCTACAGCAAAGAACTGTTGTCTCCTTTCACACGTTCTCTCTAGTCCATTATCATAAGAAAACCTCCCTGCTACGGATATCTGCAAGTAAATAAGAAAAGAAATCACAGCACTTAGGAACGGTTCTGAAAATCTGCCGTGCTGTCTGGATTGGAAGAGCAAGGGGTGATCCAGTATGGGCTAGATCCATCTGACCCATAGCCCTTTTCCAGGGGGTCTCTGTGTTGAGATCAAGTCAGAGAGCAGTTGGGCATAGGGGTGAAACCACGTGCAGATTGGTTCTGTGCTGATCCCAGACCTGGTCAAGTCAGCGCAGGGCAAAATAGGAGTGCATTCAAGTAGATGAAGGGCTGCTTCAACTTGCCCTGGGGATGGGATTAAGTATCCCTATGTCCCCCACTCGGGGACTGCAGCTGGGGATGTACATCAGGAATGGAACTGGAGGACAGTCACCAGCCAAGCTGAAAAAGATGACACGGGGAATTGATGTACAAAGCAGGCTTCTTTGGAAGCTTTTCTGGCTGTGGTGCTAGAAGGTTCTCCTATGTAGCACCTGCAGAGCATCATCCTAGGGAAGCAGGCAGCAGAGGTGCTGCTTTAGCAAGTGATGTGGAAATGCTCA